GAGAGAGAGAGAGAGAGAGAGAGAGAGAGAGAGAGAGAGAGAGAGAGAGAGAGAGAGAGAGAGAGAGAGAGAGAGAGAGAGAGAGGGACGGAAATGAAGTGGCCGCCATGCTCGTAGCCATAGAGGTGCACTGAAAACATGCACCCTACCGGTAGGGCCATATGGAAACTTTTGGTGCTGGTACTCAACGGCTATCCGATAGGGGCATACTGCAAATTTGGAACGGGTACAGGTAGGGGTATAACAAAAATATTTCAGGCCCAGCTGACGCCGGGGTTTTGTGGGAAATTTGAATCGTGGTCAGAGGGGCACCACAGGGTAAGTGGGCCGTCGGAGGGGCGCAGCGCAAAATAATGTAAATTACAGGGGCTGCAGACAATTTTTAGCAAAAAAGAAAGATCCCCGTCTCTCTGGCATGCAAAACAAAACAAGTAGAATAAAATTATAAAACTTGTAAAAGGCATTCTCAGGGCATACTCACACTACGACTTTTTTTTTTTTGTTGGACGGAACTGCGGGCAGATATACATCCAGGTATGGCGTGAAAGCGGTCAGATAAATTTGAGATACTGCCAGCGTGAGTACGCCCTCGCTGATGGGTGAAAGTTTGGGCACAAGAGAACCTCCCTGCTGCGGTCTGTCCATTACTGGCGTCAGAAGCCCCTACAGTACCATCATCCTGCGAATAGAACGCACGCCACACCGTCATTATAGCGAATAGAACGCACGCCACACCGTCATTATAGCTGTACTCGGGACAACTTTCTTTTTCTCTCTTTTTTTTTTTTAATTAAAAAAGTAAGCTACATTCTTCTCTCAATTTCACCTCACACTACCTACCCACCACTCCTAATTATAGTCCTACGGGGAGCCCCGTAGCAGCCAGAACCGTGTTCACGAGAGAACATGTGGAGACTGCTCCCGACCTGCAGGTGGGCCATACCTGGCCAGGGGGCAGCCGGTGCCGTCAGGGATCATGCCAACATGACCGATCCCTGCGGTTGCAATGATGACAGTACCAACTGAGACCATCAGTTCCAGTGATGGTTCCAATGACGGTTCCAACTTAAGCCATCAGTTCCCTTTTAAGTTGTTCCATTGGAACCATTGGGACGTGGTCCAGTGGAAAGGGACAATTCCAACAAAAGTCCCAAATGGAACGAACTACAGAGTCCCAGTTACAGTTGGTACCGACCATACCCTGTTAAATGCCGGTTCCGACGGTTCCAGAACCGTCCGGTGCGATGGAAGACGATGACGGTTCCAAATGTATCAGCTTGTCAGGGGCGAAAAAAAGCTGATACATTGGGTGTTCTATCTGCGGTTCTCTCTGGAGGCGAGGAGGCGAGGCGATCTTCAAACCAGCAATTTTTACATTTTGTATTCTGATTTTAAAAAAATAGCTGAGCGGTGACGATGTCTGGAGCACTTTGCACTATACTTCTCATAGCCATGTTGCTTTCCCCCCTTGGCAGTTCGTTAGGAGGAGCAGGAGGAGGAGGCGGCGGCAGCGGAGGAGGGGAAGGAGGAGGAGGAGGAGGACGAAGTGACATTGTTGCTTTCCTCCTTTGGCAGTTTGTCAGGAGGAGGAGGAGGAGGAGGCGGAGGAGGAGGCGGAGGAGGAAGTGACATTGTTGCTTTCCCCCCTTGGCAGTTTGTTAGGAGGAGGAGGAGGAGGAGGAGGAGGAAGTGACATTTGATTTGAGTGTATTTTTTTAAGGATGGATAGCTGATGACAACAGGGTGCATGAACATTCGGCATTGGGGGTGGTGGCATTCTGGTTAGCGGGGGGGGGGGAGGGAAAGGGGGAGGAAGGCGGTGGGGGGGACTGATTCTGACTTGTGAAAATCTCTGGTATTGGTGCTTGTTGGTGGCGTTCTTTGTTGGATGGGGAGGGCAGATTCTTGCAGCTGTGATCAAGGCTGGGCAGGAAAAGGAGCATTGCATTTTGGCGGAGATTAGGAGTGCGGTGTTCGGCTTCCTGAAGAAATTGTCAGGCCTGGATGTGCTTGATCCCGCACTCGTCAGCCGCGTGCGAATTCTATACGTGCGGATGCTACTGAAATGTGCACCTGAGCTCAGCAATGTAATGGTAAGCCAGCCAGCCAAAGGCATAAAGGGAATCAGCAGCCAGCCAGCCAAACGCAAAGTCAAAGCCAAAGGCAAAGGCAAAGGCAAAGGCAAAAGGGATCACCTCCCAGCTTTGTGCTGCTGATTCGAATTTGAACAAACTCAGACAGATGCTCCTTGGGGTGATACATGGGACGGCGGCGCTCCACTACTTGTGGAATGCAGAAGTGGTGCAAGTATCTGGCCATAGAGGATGGCAAGATGCGTTCACCGTTCCTACATTCGGCGAGTGGTGGAGCTGGGCCCGTGATCAGAAGCACGACACGATGTGCAATAAGTGTTTTGTCATAGCCAATTTTGAATTTTCCGAACAAATTCTTCACAATCACAAAAGCAAAATCAAAACCAGTCTTAAGTACAATGCGTCCTCTTTTTTTTTTTTTTTTTTTTTTTTTTTTAATGCTCCAATCTATTCGTGGGGAGAAGCAAAACCAGTCTCAAGTACCTGTCTTTTATACACATCTACCTACTGCTTCCTTTTTTTTTCCCCCCCTTTTTCCCCCCCCCCCCCCCCCCCCCCCCCCCTCCTTCACCCCAATTATCGGGGATAGATTGCTTTCGTCAAGGCTCTCTCTCTGATCAACGTCCCCTTCCACCCTGAGGCTCTTCTTCTGACTGACTGATTTGTTGCTCTCCTCCTCTCTTCCATAAATTTAGGGCCTTGCCACACCTACTCTCGAAATGTGAAAAAGACAAAATGAGGTGAGTGCATCTGGCCATGTTCTAGCAGAAAGTTCATTCTCATTTAGGACATTTCAGGAGTGGTGTGGCGATGCCCGTGGGTGTACCTCTTGTAGGGGACAGCCTGGAGTGGGTTCGTTGTATCTTGTTGACATTGGACGAGGGAAGAGAAAAGGAAGGAGAGACGGACAGTCTTTTCAAGTTCTGAAGTCTCTGGCGCAAATATGCAGTCACTTTTTAATTATGTTCTGTGTACCGCTCAGTGAAGATCTCCTCGCGTCCCACTCCCCCCACCCCCCCGCCTTCCAAAAAAAAAGGACTGTGTAATCCAAGGAAGTACAGACACTGCAATCCAACAGTTTGCCTCAGATCGCTTTCACTCTGATCAGATTATGCACTTAAAAAGATCCTTATAAATACTGTACATACTACATAACTCTCTCCCTCTCTGTGAAAGTGTCGACATGAACGAGGTCACATAATGCTCTGTGTGTGTGTGTGTGTGTGTGTGTGTGTGTGTGTGTGTGTGTGTGTGTGTGTGTGTGTGTGTGTGTGTGTGTGTG